GTTTGTTTGGGAAGATCTTTATTCTCCTTCTATTCTAAATGACAGACTTGCTGGATAAAGGATTCTCGGCTGCATATTTTTTCTGTTCATCACATTGAAGATTTCCTGCCATTCTTTTCTGGCCTGCCAAGTTTCAGTAGATAGATCCATCACTAGTCTTATCCGTCTCCCTTTATATGGTAGAGCACGATTATTCCTAGCTGCTTTCAGAATATTCTCTTTTTCCTTGTATTTTGCTGGTTTCACTATGATACGTCATGCAGAAGATTGATTCAAGTTACGTCTGAAGGGAGTACTCTGTGCCTCTTGGATTTCAGTGCCTATTTCCTTCCCCAGATCCGGGAAGTTCTCAGCTATGATTTCTTCAGGTACACCTTCAGCACCTTTCTCTGTCTCTTCCTCCTCTGGAATACCAATTATGTGTATATTATTGTGTTTTATCGCATCACTTCTCTAATTCTTCCCTTATACTCCTGGATTTTTTATCTTTTTCTCAGTTTCCTCTTGTTCCATAATTTTATCTTCTAATTCACCTATTCTCTCCTCTGCCTCTTCAATCTGAACTGTGGTCACCTCCATTTTATTTTGCAGCTCATTTATAGCATTTTTTAGCTCCTCCTGACTGTTAGTCCCTTGATCTCTCTAGGAATAGATTCTTTGCTGTCCTCTATACTTTTTTCAAGCCCAGCGATTAATTTTATGACTATTATTTTAAATTCATTTTCTGTTATATTGTTTAAATTGTTTTTGATCAGTTTGTTAGCTGTCGCTACTTCCTGGACTTTCTTTTGAGGAGAATTCTTCTGTTTCGTCATTTTGGATAGTCCCTGGAGTGGCGTGGAACTGCTGGGCTCTTCCCCTGTACTGTCTGGAGTTAACTTGTGTTGGTGGGCGGGGCCGCAGTCAGACCTGATGTCTGCCCCCATCCCGCCGCTGGGGCCACAGTCAGACTGGTGTGTACCTTATCTTCCCCTGTCCCAGGGGCAGAACTCACTGTGGAGTGGTGTGGCCCCTGTCTGGGCTACTCCCACACTGCCAGGCTTGTGGTGCTGCTTCGATGGGATCTGGCGTATTCGTTGGGGTGGATCTGCAAGATGCATGGGGGCGGGATGGACAGACTCAGTTGGTTTTGCCTTCGGTGGTCTGCTTCGGGAGGGGCCCTGCAGCACCGGGAGGGAGGCAGACCCATCGGAGGGGTGGATCCACAGAAGCACAGCATTGGGTGTTTGCGCGGTGAAGCGAGTTCCCTCATGGGAACGGTTTCCCTTTGGGATTTTGGCTAGGGGATGGGCGAGGGAGATGGTGCTTCCCAGCTCCTTTGTTTCCTGCTGAGCTGAGCTCTGTCCTCTGGGGCTCAACAACTCTCCCTCCCGTTGTCCTCTTCTAGCCCTCTCTCTCTCGGAGCAGAGCTGTTGACTTATAACATTCCAGATGTTAAGTCCCACTGGCTGTCAGAACTCACTCTGTCTGGCCCCTCCACTTTTGCAAGCCAGACTTGGGGGCTCTGCTTTGCCGGGCGGGCTGCACCTCTGCCGCCCGGCTCCCTCCCGCCAGTCCGTGTAGCGCACACCAACTCTCCGCCCTTCCTACCCTCTTCCATGGGCCTCTTGTCTATGCTTGGCTCCGGAGAATCCATTCTACTAGTTTTCTGGCGGTTTTCTGCGTTATTTAGGCCGATGTGGGTGGAATCTAAGTGATCAGCAGGACGCGGTGAGCCCAGCGTCCTCCTACGCGGCCATCTTCCTCTGATTCCTGTTATGAATATTTTAATTACCATGGTCATTTCTTCCTGTAATACCTACCAGAATTTTGATGTGTAATGTTACCGATACTTGTTCCAAGAAGTTTTTGTTCATGCATTTCTCATGTACCGAGAAACCCTGCTTGAAAGTCATCTTCTGTTGAGAATCCTGTGGCCTGTGTCTTGAGAACAATTACATAAAGGAGAGATTCTAGTGTAATAACACATTCTTAGAGAAGCAATGTAAAACCTTTGCATGTTATCAAAATCTAAACTCTAATTTTGTTTTATTTTTTTAATCTTAAATTAGGCCGCAGTGTCTTGTTATGACAGGTGCTCCAAACTCACGCCCAGCTTTACTTCATCTTGTTCATGATTTCACAAAAAATGTTGGGTTGATGATCTGTAGTCATGTACATATGGTAAGTGTTCGCTTTGTTTTCTATATTAAAACATCATTTACTCTGTGTATGTAATTTGTAATTCATGGGACTTTTTAGATGTGAAATAATTTGACAAAATAAGTCTGTTGAGTTTCTTTGGGCATTTTGAAATTAGTTATTTTCTTCAAAATATTTTTGCCTCAAAACTGTCTGAGATCCTGACTTTAGCAAAGATTTGAGAATTTTGATTGGTTTTTTTTTTCTTATTTATTATGAGATTTTAGGAAACTATATTTCTGTTACAGAAGGTTTTGGGTAAGAAAAGTAGGTTCTTGGTAACTAAGGAGCCTAAGTGAAATACGTGTATTTTATTTTATTTTTTTTAATGTTTGTTGGGGCGCCTGGGTGGCGCAGGCGGTTAAGCGTCCGACTTCAGCCAGGCACGATCTCGCGGTCTGTGAGTTCGAGCCCCGCGTCGGGCTCTGGGCTGATGGCTCAGAGCTTGGAGCCTGTCTCCGATTCTGTGTCTCCCTCTCTCTCTGCCCCTCCCCCGTTCATGCTCTGTCTCTCTCTGTCCCAAAACTAAATAAACGTTGAAAAAAAAAATTTATTTTTTTTAATGTTTGTTTTATTTTTGAGACAGAGACAGAGCATGAATGGGGGAGGGTCAAAGAAAGAAGGAGACACAGAATCTGATGCAGGCTCTAGACTCTGAGCTGTCAGCACAGAGCCAGACGCAGGGCTCGAACTCACAGATCGTGAGATCATGACCTGACTGAGCCACCCAGGCACCCTTAAATACGTGTATTTTCTTACTGACATTTTTCATAATGTTTTGAGAATACTGGGAACATTTACTACCAGGAAAAAAAAAAAGTTGGAAGAGGTAGACAAATCTTGGTAAATATCTAGTATCCAATATATAAGAAGGGCAGAGTGAATGCTGTATTTCCAAGTTCAAACAGTGTTAATTTTAATTGCCTATTCTTTTTTGTTTTAACCATGAGTAATACCATTTTAAAAATACTGTTAAACTTTTCATCCAAAAGTAGTTTTTATGATTTTGGCATCTTGATTGTTAGACAATGGATCACCTGTTCTTTGTGAGAAATTTGGAGCATTTGTCAGATTAGCTTTTCTTCCAAACTGTTTTGTTCATCTTGGTAGAAATTTGGGTTCGACACCCCATGTCTCAGCCTGTGCTACATTTGCTCCTCTGCTTATATGGTAGCAGGGTCAAAGCCATGTCTGGGGGAGAACATTAAGACACCGACCCCACTTGGGACCTGTGGAGGTTTTCAGTTTGTCTCCAAGTTGAACATTTCAAGTTGGGGTTTGACCACAGGAAATTACAAATGGGGCAATATTCCTTAACTTTTTCCTCTGTAAAACAAATTGTATTTTTCCTATACTTTTTCATGTACAATGAGGGTGTACTCTTAAACCTACTTTTAGATTGTTGCTTTATACATTTGCATATAACACATTTTATGTGTTGCTTGCGAGAACCAAAATAGAATTGCAAGTTGAAGTCTCATTTCCTTAATTCTCTTACTTCACCATTTAACTAACAGAAATATGAAGAAAAAAGTGCATTTATATTTTACAGCAAACTTCTGTTTTCAGTGATATTTTCAGGTTACTGAGAATTAATAACTCAAACATTGGGGACAAAGGGAAAACAAGCTGAGAAACTTTATGTAGAAAAACAAAAGGCTCGGGTGCCTGAGTGGCTCAGTAAGTAAGCGTCTGAGTCTTGATTTCAGCCCAGGTCATGATCTCACCGTTCGTGAGTTTGAGTCCTACATCGGGTTCCGTGCTGACAAGCAGAGCCTGCTTGGGATTCTTTCTCTCTCTCCCTCTCTCTGCCCATCCCCTGCCCACTCATGTTCTTTCTCTCAAAAATAAAAAGAAATAGAACATTAAACCAAACAAATAGAAAAGGAGAAGGCTCTTATTTTTCTCCATGTAATCTCTTCTCCATCTTTAGTAATTTCTAATTTTTCTCATTTACTTAGTATTGAAACCTTCTTATTTTTTCAGTGTGCATTTCTTCCTCTTTGCTTTTCCCTTTTAGTGGCACCCCCCCATCCCTCCCATGCCTTCACTTTTGCAACACAGGCCCGTACTGTCATTATCTTCAGTACTGAAAAGGATTCACTGACAGGAAAATACAATGTTGTTGTCCTCCTCTTCTCCCTGTCCCCCAGGTGCAGGCAGCTTGTTCAGGCCGAAGTAACAGGGTGATTTTTATAAATGTGGAGTAGATGATCTTTCAGTTAATGATACTATTAATATTTTTCTCCAAAAGGGCCCTCGAAGACAAGCCATGAAAGAGATGTCCATTGATCAAGCCAAATATCAGCGGTGGCTTATCAAGAACAAGATGAAGGCTTTTTATGCTCCAGTCCATGCAGATGACTTGAGAGAAGGTGCACAGTATTTGATGCAGGTAAATTTGTCCTGCCTTTCAAATAACAGAATTCAAGTTCTTTGTAACCTTTGAAAAACCTTTTACATTCTAGGTTTCATTCTTCATATCAATAAAAATGGTAAATCTTTTAACATATTTTTATTACTAAGATTTGTGTAATTGGAGAGCATAAGGAATGAAAGAAATAATGTGCCCTTGGCAGCCCGGGGAAAACCTATTTGGAAATTATCCTAGCCTGTTTCCCTAAGACGTTTCCCTTTCACTTTCTGCTGTACCTCACTGGGGTTAGTTTGTAAGTATGAATTAATGGCAGTCCTTATTTAATTCTTTAAAATTTCTTGTTCCTTACCGTATTTCTCACTATTTATTTACTAAACTTAGATTTCACTTTCAGTTTTGTGTATGACACACTGGTCAGAATTTGGGATTTGGAGTCGGTCCTAGATTGACATGTTAGCACTACCACTTCCTTATTATTAATTTTTACTGAGAAAGTTCCTCAACTTCTCTGAAGCTCAGTTTCCTCAATCAGCCCTGAAGTTTATGGGAAGAATTAAATGGGTTGGGATCATGTTGGCCATCTTTTTTTTATAGGAACCCCTTTCTTCAAAAGAAAGATTAACCAGAAGCCCATTCACTGTGTTGATTGCAGAGCTGCTCTGTTAAAGCAGAGGTGGGAGGCTCAGCGTGCTGTCACCTGCACATTCTGTTTAGATATTTTATAAAACTTGACAAGCACAGGATTAAGAATATCTTAGGCGAGCCTCAGGAATAATAAGGGGTGGTAGTGGGCTTACTTTGGTAGATATAAAGTCTCATCGTAAACTTTAGTAATTAACACATAGTGGTATTGAATTAGTGATAATAAGGTTAATGGAATAAAACAGAAAGGAGAAATAGAGCCCCTCATATAGAAAATTTAATATATATGGAAGTAGAATTAAAAGGATCAGCTAGGGCAATTGGTGATTCATGTGAAAAAATAATAGATCTTTACAAAGACTACACAAAAACCATTTCTAGAGGGATTAAGGACTTAAATGTGAAAGGCAAAGTTTTTAACTATTAGAAGAAAAATGTAGAATAATTTTATGACTTTGAGCTAGGGAAGGATTTTTATTTCAGTGAGACACAAAAAAGTTGAACTCCGAAGTTCAGTCTGCCAATTCCAAGTGTTAGGAGCCATATGAACAGTTGGAAATCTTTGAACTGCCATAGTAACATAGATGGCACAGTCACTTGGGTCAGGCAGTGTCCTCTACTTTCAAAGTGTTCGTGTCCTCGGACATTCTGTTCTTACGTGTGTTCCTTAGAGAAACTTTTACACATGTAGGGAAGACTATATGAAATTGCGTAGCAGCATTATTTGTATTTGTGAAAAAGAAATGGAAGTAACTTCAACAGCCATCAGCCACAAATTGAAAGATCGTGGTATAAACATGCAGTGGAATTCTATATAGTGATAAAAGGGAATTAGTTATACGTAGCAGTAGGAATAAACTTTGAACACAGAAAGTGCTAAGGAAAAATAGCAAGGTAAAAAGACAGGAACAATATGGAGATGATATAAAATTTTAAATATACGTAAATTAAACATGTATATGTATGTATGTATGCCTAAATGATGAAATGGTGAAAATACAAAGAGGGCGTGACAAGGATACATAGGGTGTTTGAAGTGTGTTTGTAATGTTTTTTATTAAGCTGGGTGATGCGTACATGATTATTTAATGTATTTGCTTTTCTATGTAAAGTATTTAAATATTTCAAGTAAAGTTCTGCTTCTGGTCATAAGGTTGTTTGTAGTGGGTAAATCTTAACTTGCTTTTGTGCGATTTGTAGGAACATTTCTAGAACCACTTTACGTATTTAAGAGGCGTTAGGAAGGAAAATTCTTCCTTAGAGCAGTGGTTCCTGAACTTGAGCGTACGTCAGAGTCATGTAGTGGGCTTGTTAAAACACATTGCTGCGTCCCACCTTTGGGATGACTCAGTGGGTCCTTGGGTGAGCCGGGAGAGTTTGCATTTCTATAACTGCTCCTGGTACAGTGCGGACACTACAGTTTGAGAACCTCTGCGCTTAAGGGTTTCTGTGGTAAAAATGACACTGTTGACGAGTGTTAGGATCCATTGTCCTCCTCACTCCTCTTCCTGCTAACATGTTCACCCCAGTGGGTCTAGACCATTTGAGCAGTGTGGGGATAAAGGTAGGATGCATAGCACATGGTAGTATTTTGAGACTGGCCTATAAACTGGTGGATGCAAGCATTTCACTAAGATGCCCAAGAAGTTGCCTTGATTATAGTGGCAGAGCTGTCTGAGTAACTGTGTAAAACAAACTTACAAATCGGAGAATTATCTCTGCAGAATTAATCACTGACTTCTTAGTGTAAATTGTCACTGACAGTATTTCTCTTTCTTTTGTACCTTCTGGAAACCTGTTAACATCCAGTGGCAAAAGCCTGTATGTCTTATTAGAGGTTTATAATCTTTGTCAAAAACCGCTTTTGAACATGTTTACTCTACCTTACTTATGCTCTTTCTTCTCGTTTCTCTCTCATTTATCTAGTTACTGATTATAAGCATTCATGTATCATTGAATTAGCATTTAAGTATCCAGGCTCCACAATAAATCTCAAGATTCACGATTTTAAAAAAGAGGCATTCTTCTCCAGTAGCACTGCTAGCTTCCTTGTGTATTTGTATCTTTCTGTTTTCTTTTTTAATGGCAGGAGCCACTTAATTGTCAGTCAATTTTAAACCTTCATTTCAAAGAGCAAAAACTTACTGTCCTTAGTGAAAATTCAGATTACAGATTACATTATGGGGGCCCTTTAAATCAAGTGGGTCTCATTCACAGTCTCACTCTAGACATAACTTTACCTTTTTTCCTGCACAAAAATAGCCCAGAATTATACTCTTTAATACATGCTGAATGTTTGTGACCTTTCCTCTTCATCAGCCACTTTTTGAGGTAGACGGTAAGTTCTTTTAAATTCTTCTGAAATAAGTAGATCAAAATAATCTAATTCTTATACCAATAGAGTATTAGAAATATAAATTATGTACAAATTATGTCTTATAGCCACATCTACAAGAAATATTGTGCCCTGAGAAATTAACTAATGATAATTTAAAGCAATCACTAATTTGGGGGCACCTGGGTAGCTCAATCGGGTAAGCTTCCAACTTTGGCTCAGGTCCTGATCTCGCGGTTCGTGAGTTTGGACCCCGCGTGGGGCTCTGTGCTGACAGCTCGGAGCCTGGAGCCGGCTTCAGATTCTGTGTCTCCTGCTCTCTCTGCCCCTCCTCCGCTTGCACTCTCTCTGTTTTTGAAAATAAACAAACATTAAAAAAAAATAAAAGCTATCCCTAATGGCTGAACATTTTAACCATCCAGGACATGGAGCCAAAACTCTACAAGTATTGTTTTCAGTAATTTTTAAAGTTATACAGATCTCACAGCAGTATTTGACTACATTTCAATAGGTAACCATAATGATTGGAAATATTTTTACTTAATAGTGAAAGACAGAAATAAAAAGCCATTGTGTACCATTGTGGAAATAGTTCTGCTGCAGTAAAAATGGTTATGATGATGCATAGGAAAATATAATAACAAACTAAAACACATTTCTTGTCAGCAAATTCTTGTGAAAGATGCATAGAAAACATTGCTGAAGATCCAAAGAAACAACACAATGGGAATATTTGAAACTAAAGACGTTTGTAATAAGCTTCAGGATTGTATTTTGCCAAATCAGTTTCAATTATGGAATTCCATGAAAAACTGATTTTATGAACCATTAAAGAAATCTGTTTTCCAGAGAAGACATATTTTCAGTAATAAATTGTTCTTTAAAACACAGGATGTTTTATGGAAACTGAAAGCATTACTTCTGACTGAATAACTACTTTGATTAGAATTTACAAAGGATTTAGGGATGAGTGATACATTTCAAATTTCTTTGCTCAGTCATTCAAGGGAAAGTTATTGAAATAATGAAGTTGAAACAAGTGGACAGAGTGCCGCAGGGTGTTATTGTTAATTTTATAAAAATAAAACCTTTTAATTATTATGTTGTGACAAAAGTTTGTGATGAAAAAGAGAATAAAAATGACATTATTTTGTATCATCAGTAAGTTATTGGTTATCTTGTAGCCTCGTTCTTTAAAAAGCTCTAAAACTCAAAGATGTTTCTTGCTTTGCTTTTACCAAAAAAAAAAAAAA